TAAACTTTCTTTTTACATTTGGGACACAGAGGAAATGAGGATGATCCAGTTCCGAGGAAATGGCATGGGAAATCTTAGTTTTAAGTCTTTTCTGATGGAACCAAAAAAAGGGAGTCATCTGAATGCTTGTCATGGAAATAACAGTAAAGTAGCAACAAATTTGCAATGTTTTGTTTGTGGAAAATTAGTTTGATTAAGGAACTCTCATCCAGCTTCTTGCTTTCCAGTCAAGTTTGATCTTCAAAAATTTAAACTGCAATGTCAATCATTATCTACTGTTTTCTTAGTTCCTATTCTTTTATTTTTCTTGTTCCTTAATAATGTTTTTCTCTACTCATATTCTTTTACACTCTGTAGCCCCCTCTCCTCCTCCTTCCATGTCTTAGTGGCTTTATCACTTTGCTTGGGGTGAAATGATTTTTTTTTTTTTTTTTTTTTTTTTTAAATTGGGAAATCCTCAAGAGAGTAGTTTGAAAAGGATTCCAGCATTATTTTCCTAGGTAGGTCTTTTTATTTTTTATTTTATCAATACTTTCACTGTGGCATTGCTGTAACATTGTTGCCTGGCTGTACTGTCCCATTTTTATAAAGATAGGAAAATAATATTTACTGGAAATAAATAACTATAAATATGGTAATGACATTGTTTCATGGTTGTCACCAATTTGGTTTTGATCAGATACTCAATGGTGTATACGGCACTAAATAACACCCAACACAATATAATAAAATATGTCATAAAACAGTTTGCATTGTATGCTAGTATATATCTGTACAGGTTTGAATAGATAGGTTGATATACTGTAAAATCAATCAATCAATCATGAGTTACTTAATGACAAAACATGTTAAAGATTTAGATTCTATATGGGTAAATTTTTTCATGATTTGTTTTTTAGTAGGAAAAGCTTTTATTTTTTTTTATTTAAAGTTAAAAATTTTAAAATACACTTTGTTAAAAAAGATGTTTAGTCCAATTGACGATTTGCCCATTGCACGGCAAATGTCCAACTTCCTGCAAAAAAGGGTTTTATCAGGGAATTTGGCAACTAAGTGGAAAAGGTTTATTTGAAATTTTTCAAAAGCCAGTTGACTCAAGAAAGAACCTGATAGTACATACAAAACATTTGTTTTTTTTTATCAATAATAGGAGAAGAAGCATATAACTTTTACGAGGAGTTGAAATTTAATAATGAAGAGGAGAAAGAAAATTTGGAAGTAGTAATGAAGAAATTTATAGAATTTTTTGTTGGAGAAACCCTTGAAGTATATGAAGCTTAGAAATGTCATATTCAAAAGCAAGAAGCTTCAGAGAATATAGAGGCATATGTTGCTGTGCTTTGGCAGTTCGCAAAAGGCTGCAATTTTGGGGAAATGCAAGACAGGTTAATTCAAGACCAAATAGTTGTAGGAGTTAAAGATGATACAATCAGGGAAAAAGTTTTTAAAGGATAAAAAGACTTACCCAAGACAAATGTATAGACATTGATAGGGCCTGTGAAACTTCCAAGCAACTTTTTACTTGTGGAACTCTCTTCCAATTACTTGCTTTCCGGCCAATTTTGATCTTCAAAAATTTAAATGAGATGTCAGTTCTTATCTTCTGTTTCCTTAATTCTTGTCCTTTTATTGATGACTTGGAAAATCTGTTACTCACAGGAGAAATTGAGGGCAACAGGGACAGAGGAAAAGAATGCATAACCTACCTAGAGAGCTTGAGTAAATGGATGGCAGAACAGGGCTTTTGAAATAATGAAAAGACATCATTTATTTAGAACTGCAAGGGATAGGAAATTGTGGAAAGCCATGGCTGCCTACATCCTGAGCGGACTCAGTACATAAAGAGAAGAGAAAAACAAAGGCTTTAATGACTTTGTTATATTCACTTTTGTACAAATACTACTGGGGAAACTTATGAATCCATTGCTTCTCCTCCTAGCTATAGGTTAAATAGTAGGGCAGGCTGGACTCTCTAGCCATGGCTGGCAACCAGCATAGAAGAAGGACAGGTCTGAATTAGCAACAACTCTGAATAATACTGCTATGTGTGCTAATCCAGGATGCTGTAGACGCCAACAGGTATTAGGCCCAGGATAGAGGGATAATGGATGATATATATGTTTTATGTAATGATATGGTTCTAAATCCTAATTTGGTGATTGGTATCAAGCATCACAAAAAGAAAAAAAACACCATGAGACGAAACAGTTCTCCTGGTGAAAAGATCTAAGTTGATTTTTGGAAAGATACAGAAATACACCAACTTTGGTATATTGGTCCTAAGAAGGCTATAGCAACCAATGTGAAAATGCAACTGACTCAGCGACAGTAGTCACCATACACTCTTTTCAGCCGCTATGATAATTGCCAGTCATATAAAGAAGTTGGTGGTAGAACCACTGACCTACAGTTAATCACATAAGATACCATGATGACATTGTATAATGACATCTGAATTTCTGTTTATAATATTTTTAAATGTGAACCAAAAAACTTAATATTTGTGAAGGATCTCATTGTTGCTGGTGGTATATTGGCCAGCAAACGGATATTGAATGACAGAAGGCAACATTAAACAAAAAATGAAGACTTGAGTAAAAAAAAAAAAAAAAAGAAATATATATATTGCCAAGTTTATTTTTGTTAAAGAAAATGCATCAACAAAAATAAGGTTACAGTGCATGAAGCAAAATGTTATTTATGCATGTTAATCTAGAGGGTGAGAAGATCATTGTCCTGAAAAGGACAGTTTTGGTAGCCACCGAAGAGCGTTGTCCTGGAAAGGAGAGTTTTGGTAGCCACCGAAGAGCGTTGTCCTGGAAAGGAGAGTTTTGGTAGCCACCGAAGAGCGTTGTCCTGGAAAGGAGAGTTTTGGTAGCCACCGAAGAGCGTTGTCCTGGAAAGGAGAGTTTTGGTAGCCACCGAAGAGCGTTGTCCTGGAAAGGACAGTTTAATGCATGTCATTACTGCTGGCAAGGATGGCTGGAACTGGAGGCCTGTTGGAGATGGCTGGCTGGCTGGCTGGCTGGTTAGAGCTGCGGCTTATGATGGCTGGCTGGCTGAAACTGCTGATGGCTGGAGCTGTCAGCTAGATGTCGGCTGCTAGAACAGATACTACATTTTGACCCTTGTCATCTGAACTGCAAAATGCTGCTTTTTTGTTTCTTTGAGGTCTTTTTATATCCTGAATCAGATTACTGGTTAAGGTTTTCCAGTTTTTAAAAAATATGGGAGCACTGACAGGATATAACACCATTACTGACAGTTTCTCTTTTGCTCACTGAATGCCTTGAGAAATCAGAAGATGTATAATTCTCTATGGTTTTTGTTCATTTTGTGGATAGGATGGATTTTATAAGCACAGAATGTCAAGCAAGCCTCTTAAAAAATAAAATATTTTAATTACAGAGGACTTTCAGCTGAACAAAATCCTCAGCTAATTATCTCCCAAGTAATTGAGTAATAATTATCAATTTACTTTTTTTTTTTTTTTTTTTTTTTTTTTTTTTTTTTTTTTTTTTTAAGAGCTCTTTGATGATTTTATCCTTTGTCTCTAATGAATGACTTAAAATATAATTTTTAGTTTTGGCAGGATAACTTCAATCTGAACTGTGGATGAGATTCCTCTCTGCCAACTCAGCTTATAAATTAACAGTAGTGTTAGAAGAATACACATCACTGCAATAGTATTAAATGTTTCAAAAGTAGGAAACCCAGTGAATGCTGGACAAACTCATTGCAGATGAAGAGACTTGAAACAACAAGAATGTGATTTTACAGTAAGAATACTATGGGCCAATCATGTGAGCAATGTTAAAATTTTAGAGAAAATGGAAATTTGTATTTAATATCAGGAAGAAACAGTTGAAATTTCTACTACACATAATGAGGAAAGAGGGCTTGGAAAATCTGCTACTCACAAGACAGATGGAAGGCAAGAGGGGCAGAAAAATGCACAGTGAGCCTGAGTAAAAGGATGGCAGAACAAGGTTTAGGAGAGACAACAAAAAGATAAAATTTATTAAGTACTACAAAGGGCAGGAAAGCGTGGAGAGCCATAATCATGATGCTCTGAAGAGACATGGCACATAGAAGAAAGCTGATATTGCAGGTTAACTTTCAGATTGTGGTTTTTTCCCAAATCCAAATCATTTTCACTCCTAGCGGAGGAGCCCCACCCAGATTGACCACATCTTCAAGGACGTAGCGATGCTTACCAAGCTTGGTCAATTGCAGGCTGGTGAGGATATTTAACCAGCATTTGAGGTTTTGAATTCAGAGCTGTCCATCTCCGAGACAGGTTGTGCCTAAAGCTATTGGATCCAGTCTGTCTCGCTATTTACCCATTGCTGGGCGGACGGGGGTGGGGTGCGGGGAGATAATAGATGGATTCATACCGTTTCCAAAGGTATTTGCATCTAAGTGAATGTAATGAACCCAATTGGAATTCAAACTTGTATCTACAGTTCCTCAATCTGAAGCACTATCCATCACTTCAACATGCCTCCATAGTTAATTTTATTAACAGTAAAAAAAAAAAAAAGTTATTAAAAATAATTTTGCTTCTCAAATCTCATTTTTCAACAAAATATCGATTGGCTTTCAAATTTGGGATATGCAGGATGGCTCTTATTTAGAGTCAGACTAATGGTGGGGGACAAACTTTGGATATGCAGGATGGCTCTTATTTAGAGGCAGACTAATTGTGGGGGACAAACTTTGGATATGCAGGATGGCTCTTATTTAGAGTCAGAGTAATTGTGGGGGACAAACTTTGGATATGCAGGATGGCTCTTATTTAGAGTCAGACTAATGGTGGGGGACAAACTTTGGATATGCAGGATGGCTCTTATTTAGTGTCAGACTAATGGTGGGGGACAAACTTTGGATATGCAGGATGGCTCTTATTTAGAGTCAGACTAATGGTGGGGGACAAACTTTGGATATGCAGGATGGCCCTTATTTAGAGTCAGACTAATGGTGGGGGACAAACTTTGGATATGCAGGATGGCCCTTATTTAGAGTCAGACTAATGGGGGACGAACTCATGATACATGTTATTACACATTATAGCCAACATATATTTTATCTGCAGAATATGATATAAGGAGATATATGTTTTACATTTTCTATCATGTTGTAATAAAAGTTCTGACTGCATTTTCAACTTATTTGCAAGCACATAATGGTGATTAAAGATTATTTTTATATTTATTTCACTCTTAGTTGCTTTCAATAACCTTATTCTTTCAACAAGTTTTTTTTTTCCGTCTGAATTTCTGGGATGAGGAGTTATGATTATTTATATTATTTACAGTTAGATTAATATTCTCAACTTTGTTGTTGTCATACTCTTTCAGCCATTGTACTCTCCAGCCATCTTCAGGTGTCTGTTGATCTGGCTATCCTTCAAAGAAATTCAAATAGAACCATTTACATAATATTTGTCCAGTACTGAAGTCGCTTAGATTGTTGCTTAAATATTTTTTTTGCTTTGATCTAATAAATAGAAAAAAAAAAGATACTTCAACATAAGTAAATGGGTAGAATTCTTGAATGCAAAGTAAAAATAACCTATTTAGTAACTCTTTTGTATCTGTCTATATTTCTGAGATGAGGTATAATGAACATTATTTACATTATTTGGACTATTGTCCTCATCTTTGTCATCATATTTAAGGACACATGGCACTTTGGATAAAGGTGTTAGTTCCAGTGACAGGACCCAAAGTATACCCGGCTAAGGCAGTGGAGAACTTTCAGAGGGAAATTAACAGGAGATAACTGATAACTGACATCCATTAAACATGGCACATAGAACTAGAACAGTCTACCCCAGTGAGTGAAATAAAGGGTTCAGTTTGACATTCCAACCAAGAAAGCCGGAGTGTACAATGGCCAAAATGTAATAAATATGGCTTTAAAGATGAGGACAATAGTCTGAATAATGTAAATAATGTAGTAATTCTTTGTTGAATCGTATGCCCTTCTTTTTTCTGATTTTGAGTTTTCAGAAAAAAATAAAACAATATTTATACTATTTACATTCAGTCTATTGTCCTTGTCTTTGTTGTTAACAATGAATTCTGAACTGAAACCTTTTATTTAAACTGTTTTGGAACAAGAACTGTCTAACCCCATAGATTAAAGGGTTCAGTTTGCAGCTGCCTATAGGTTACCCAGATCAATATACACCTGGTGAAGGTTGGAGGACATAATGAATGAAATGTTGTAATAACAAAAAAACCGAGGACAATCCTCTGAATGATAACTTTACATCCCAGAAATTCAGACAGAAAGCAATCAGGTGATAACAACAACAAAGATGAGGATAATAGTCTGAATATAAATAGTGTAAATAATGACAACTCCTCATCCCAGAAATTCAGACAGAGAGCTATCAGGTGATAACAACAACAACAAAGATGAGGATAATAGTCTGAATTTAAATAGTTTAAATAATGACAACTTCTCATCCCAGAAATTCAGAAGTCCTCATCTTTGTTACAATCACAACATTTTGACTCTTGTGCATTCCAATCTTCTTCAGGTGTCTGCCAATCAAAATAATCTTTAAGGAATTTCAAACTGAACCCTTTATTCAGTTCACAGGGATAGATTGTTCTCATTCTCCTGTCCATGTCAAGGGATGTCACATCTCAATTGCCCAATTATTACTAGTTTAAGGTGCAAAGTTCTAGCTTCAAGTTTGTCTCATTGTACAATAGCCTCGAGGATGGAAGCATTGGTTAGTGAATTTGGTGACGTAATTGTGAATTCAATACCTGGGTTTTAGATTTATCCAAATTCAGTGGAAACGGGTCTAACAATAACCGAGCTGTACAAAAAAAAAAACAACCAAGATAACCCTTTCTTTTTTCCATCATCATGGCTGATGCTAACTCTCAGGAAAGTGACTCATTGTACCTTCTCATGCTAACGTTTTCTGCTAACATGAATTGGAAAGATTATATTGAATCAGTCGCTAGGTCTGCTGCTAGGAGAGTTTGTTCACTGTGTCATGCTAGACGATTTTTGTCACTCAAATCAATCTTATATATTTACCATTCATCCTTGCTTTGAATATTACTGCCACATCTGGTTTGCTGCTCCTGCTATATATTTAGTGTTGTAGCACATCTGCAGATGATAATGGGTATATCCCCATTCACATAAATGCAGTAGTAAATACTGTATGTTGGTCTGCATTTGGATATTCATTGTGGAATTCACTTGACTCACTTCTAGCAGTTGACTACTTCTTGTACGTGCTGCTGGAAAATCTTATATGTGTTGTTCTTGTCCTAAGTATTATCGTTCATTACCAACCTTCGTTTGATTATTCTATTCAGCAACCTTCCCTAGGTTACATTTAGAGATCCTTGATAAAATCCAAAGACTATGCAATGTTATAGGTCCTGACCTGGAATTTCATCTTCATTCATTTTCCCACTGCTGGAATGTAGATTTCTTGTGCCTTTTCAATAAAATTTTTTGTGGTAATTGTTCTGATGAACCTTTCTCTGTGATACCTAGACTTTACAAATTTAAGCGTAGTACTAGATTTATGGCAAGGTCTCATTTTACAGTTGAAATGGATAGATGCAACTGTAAGTTCTATGCTAACAGTTTCTTTTCTTGCACTTCTCCTTTGTGGAACTCTTTTCTGGCTTCATACTTTCCAGTCCACTTTGATCTTGAAAAATTTAAATGCAATGTCAATCATTATCATCTGTCTTAATTCCTGTTCTTTTATTGTTCTCTCTCCTTAATAGTGTTTCTCTATTTTTCTTATATTCTTTTACACTCACAAATTTTTGCATCTTGAAAATTTTGATTTAAAAAAAAAAAAAAAAGATTTTGGAATGAGAACTGAATACTTTATTTAATCTATGAGGATAGATTGTTCTTGTTCTGCTGCAGAGGTAACAATAAGAACATTAGATTTATTGTTCGAAGTTCTAGTTCCCTGATTAGAGGATTAATGCATTAAATATAGTATTTGTGACCAAAAAATCATTTGGCTAGGTAGTACAGACTCAGGTGATATTGCAAAATAGCAATATGTTAGTACTAAAAAAAAAAATACGAAATAACATGGAAAATTAAAAGAATTAACATTTTATTTAATCTATGGCTATTGATTGCTACTGCAGAGAAGGCACTAAAGCTCCAGGATCACACACTGGAATAGTGAGTTCAATCCCAGGGCTAGTTAGTATAAACTCACTCACTGGAAACAGGACTAGCAAGAACCGAGCAATACTAAAAGGACAATTAACCAAAAAGAGATAAGGGACCATAGATTGGATAAAGGGTTCAATTTGAAGCTCCCAGAAGATTATCCAGAATGAAAAGACACCTGAAGAAGGCTGAGAGACATAACAGCTGAAATGTTAAAATAATAACAACAAAGATGAAGACATTAGTCTGAATGTAAATCATGATAATTCTTCATCCCAGAAATTTAAACAGCAGGATAAGAAATTTCAAGCCATTAAGAAATGAGAAACTTGATATGAATTTTCTTAAAAGGTAAAAACAAAAATATACTTTCACATTGCCATTTTTACAACAAAAAACAAAACTTACTATATTTGATCGTTTAAAGATTACAAGGTAATGATGCACCCTATAATTAGCTCGATGTTTTATGGAAAAATATTTTCTAGGATTTAATAATTTACTGTATTAGCAATTCCAATTCACCATTTGTCATTTTTCTTTCTGTCAGAACAAATTATCACATTATGGACCTATTAATAAATATTTGTGGTTACTATTAATTAGATTTCCAATATTTTCTCACAATTCTATACTTATTCATATCAGAAACATCTGTTGCTTGCCTCTACAAGCCACAGGGTATATTGGAAAGAGCAATAACAGTTACTGGTCTAAGAAACCAACTGTTTTAATGGAAAGATTTTATAAATTTCAACCAAAAGTGTCACTGGTTGCACATTGAATTAATGCTTAATGTCTCTATATATAAAAAAAATCTATTTCATTCTGTTCCTATGTTTCCTTTCTTTCTTTTTTTTTCCTTCCTATCATTATCATCTTTTTTCTTTTCTTTCTTTCTTTCTATCTAATTTTTCTTTCTTTCTTTCTTTTTTTTTTATCTAAGCCTCTTTTTTTCTTTCTATCTAAGCTATCTTTTCTTTTTTCTTTCTATCTAAGCCTCTTTTTTTCTGAAATATCTAAGCTTCTTTAGCAAAAAATAAAAAAATATAACCCTCTTTCTTTTTTTTTTCTATCTAAGCCTCTTTCTTTTTTCTTTAATATCTAAGCCTCTTTCTTTTTTTTTTGAATCTATTTTAATCCTTTTTCTTTTCTTTCTATCTAAGGATTCTTTTTTTTTTTCTTTCTATCTAAGCCTCTTTCTTTTTTTTTCTTTCTATGGTCTTTTTTTTTTAAAATTTCTTTCTTCCATAGCAAAAAACTTAATGATTTTTTTCTTTCTATCTAAGCCTTTTTTTTTTTTCTTTTTTTTTTTTCAGCCTAAGCCTCTTTCTTTTTTTTTCTATATTCTCAAAATTTCTTTTTTTTTTCTATAAAAACCTTACCTTTTTCTTTCATTTTTTCTTTTTCTTTCTTCTAAGCCTCTTTTTTTTTTAAAATTCCTCTTTTTTTTTCTTTAAATTTCTTTCTTTTTTTTTCTATCTAAATTCTTTGTTTTTTTCTTTCTATTCATTGCCTCTTTCTTTTTTTCTTTCTATCTAAGCCTGAAATTTTTTTTCTAAACCTTCTCTTTCTTTTTTCTTTCTATCTAAGCCTTTTTTCTTTTCTTTTTTCTTTTTCTTTCTAAGCCTTTTTTTTTTTTCTTTAAAAGTCCCTTTTTTTTTTTTTCTGTAAAAGCCTTTTCTTTTTTTCTTTTCTATCTAAGCCTCTTTCTTTTTTTCTTTCTATCTAAGCCTCTTTCTTTTTTTCTTTCTATCTAAGCCTCTTTCTTTTTTTCTTTCTATCTAAGCCTCTTTCTTTTTTTCTTTCTATCTAAGCCTCTTTCTTTTTTTCTTTCTATCTAAGCCTCTTTCTTTTTTTGAAAAAGCCTCTTTCTTTTTTTCTTTCTATCTAAGCCTGAATTTTTTTTTTTTTTTCAATCTAAGCTTTCTTTTTTCATCCATCCAAAATCCAAGCCTCTTTCTTTCTATCCATCCATCCAAGCCTCTTTCTTTCTATCCATCCATCCAAGCCTCTTTCTTTCTATCCATCCATTTCTATCCATCCATCTATTGCAAGCCATTTTCAGAATATGCATCCATCCAAGCCTCTTTCTTTCTATCCATCCAAGCCCTTTTCTTTTCATGGATGCATCCATCAATCCATCCATCCAACCTTTTCTTTCTATGCATCCATCCAAAATGTTTTAAAATTATGCATCCATCCAAGCCCTTTCTTTCTTTCCATCCATCCATCCTTTCTTTCCTCTTTCTTTTCTATCCATCCATCATCCATCTCTTTCTTTTTCTTTCTTTATCCATCCATCCAAGCCTCATTTTTTTTTTTTTATCCATCCATCTAAGCCTCTTTCTTTGCATCTTTCTTTCTTTCTTTCTTTTTTAGATCCATCCATCCACTTATGCCTCTTTCTTTCCATCCATCCATCCTAGCCTGTTTTTTTTTCTTTCTATCCATCCATCCACTTATGCCTCTTTCTTTCCATCCATCCATCCTAGCCTGTTTTTTTCTTTCCATCCATCCATCCATCCTAGCCTGTTTTTTTCTTTCTATCCATCCATCCATCCAAGCCTGTTTTTTTCTTTCTATCCATCTAGCTAGCTAGCATGATTGCTTGTATCTCATGACTTGAGTTTGTGCGGGTTGGCAAACTCCTCTTTAGAAATTGAGCTTTCAGCACTAAGACACATGGTGATTTTTCAGGAAAAACAAAAATGCATCTAATTATACAGGAAATATGGTAGTCACATTTCTATCACTTCCCATGTCATTTTTCTTTCTGTCATGACAAATTATCACATTGTGAACCTATTAATAAACATTTCTGGTTATCATTAATTAGATTTTCAATACTTTCTCACAATTCTCTACCTATTCATATAAGAAACAACTGTTACTTGCCTCTACAAGCCACAGGGTATCTCAACACATGGCATGTTTACGTCCTACTCTTACATGATGTTTCAGGGCTGCATTCAAAATATCAATGATAATTGTAGGCTTATATGTCTGGGGTTCCTGATTGCATGTATCTTGTGACTGAGGTTCATGAGAGCTGGCAAACACCTCTCTACAATTTGACATTTCAGTGCTAAGGTACAAGGTGATTTTTGTGGGCGTTTTTTTTTTCAGGAAAAAAAATGTGTTATCAAATATGGGAAATACAGTAACTGGAAAAGAAAATAATAGCATAATGAAGATGTTGACATTCCAAACTACTTCAAACAAAAGGCTAGGAAGGAAACCACCACCAATACTGGAAAGAGCAATAACAGTTACTGGCATAAGAAATGGATTTTGCTAAAAAAACTCATTTAATGGAAAGATTTTATAAATTTCAATGGAAAGTATCACTGGCTGCGCAATGCTTAATGTCTCTTTATAAAAAAAAAAAAAAATTATCTTTTCATTCCATTCATATCTATCTATCACTTTCCATTCCATTCGTATCTATCTATCACTTTCCATTCCATTCGTATCTATCTATCACTTTCCATTCCATTCATATCTATCTATCACTTTCCATTCCATTCGTATCTATCTATCTCTTTCCATTCCATTATAATCTATCTATCTTTCCATTCCATTGTATCTATCTATCACTTTCCATTCCATTCGTATCTATCTATCACTTTCCATTCCATTCGTATCTATCTATCTATCTATCTATCTATCTATCTATCTATCTGTCTCTTTCCATTCCATTCGTATCTATCTATCTGTCTCTTTCCATTCCATTCGTATCTATCTATCTGTCTCTTTCCATTCCATTCGTATCTATCTATCTCTTTCCATTCCATTCGTATCTATCTATCTGTCTCTTTCCATTCCATTCGTATCTATCTATCTGTCTCTTTCCATTCCATTCGTATCTATCTATCTGTCTCTTTCCATTCCATTCGTATCTATCTATCTGTCTCTTTCCATTCCATTCGTATCTATCTATCTGTCTCTTTCCATTCCATTCGTATCTATCTATCTGTCTCTTTCCATTCCATTCGTATCTATCTATCTGTCTCTTTCCATTCCATTAGTATCTGTCTATCTATCTCTTTCCATTCCATTCGTATCAGTCTATCTATCTGTTGTGGATTCCGGGATGAAATCCGGTCTCAAAATGAATGACAAACGCAGGAATGAAATATAGCAAATAAATGTATTGACGTAATAATACATTTGGTAATACGGTTAGTAGATCCAGAAATGTGGTTAGTGGCAATAATAATATATATACAGTCTGGGAAATTCAGTATCGAAGTATGACTTCCTTCTGAGTCTACCTGCTCGCAACTGTGACTCCTACGAAGCGGTTACCTCACACTCTCACTCTCTCACTGTATCACTCCCGGGTATTCACTGGCAGCAGTACAAGTACACACTGGCCAAGTTCACTTGTATGAAAAAGGGGTGGACCCCTTAACACTATCTCTTTCCATTCTATTCATATCTATCTATCTAAGCCAGTTTCTTTATTTATTTATTTATTTCTCTCTATCATGATTGCTTGGATCTCATTACTGCGGTTTTTGAGGGTTGGCAAACTCCTCTTTAGAAATTGAGCTTTCAGCACTAAGACCCATGGTGATTTTTGTGGGCATTTTCCAGGAAAAACAAAAATGTATGAAATAATGTACATAATACCTCATCTCAGAAATATAGACAGATACTGATATAGTTTAGTTTATCTACAAGATCAGGTAATGTATTTTTACAGGGATATATTAATAGAGTGCCATCAGTATATCAGAAATCTGTTTTCATTTTTAAGGTAAAATATTTTGGAAAGTACCAAATTCAAGAAATTTTAAGAAAATAGATGCTAAATCCTTACTCAGAGGTGAACCCATTGGTAATCCAAAATTTTGTTTATAAAAAGTTTTGTTAAATGTGAAATAGCATTGATTGGTGATGAGTTGGTTATTATTGGTAGGGGGAGGTCTATTTTTGATTGTGTTTGATGCTTTTTTAAAAAGATTTAAGTGTTTGTTAATAGGAATATTGGTGTAAAGGAATTTGACATCTAAACTAGCCATGAGTTTATATTCACTTACTTTTTTGTCTGAATTTTTAACATGTGATGGATGGGCTAAGTGCTTCACAATAAATGTGCTAATGCACTTCATGGTGTATATGCTAACCTATTTGATAGATTTGAGTAAATGTATGGTAGAACAAAGAACACAAAGACATAGGGATAGCAAATGAGCAAGAACTACTTAAATCAACAAACTACTGGAAGTTGTGGAGAGCCATGATCGCCCATATTTTGAAGTCACATGGCATACAGAGATATAACAGGTTTCATTATACAAATGCACCTAAACTATTCACTCAAATGATTACATAAGCTTATAACAAGCACTGAAAGTCGATATAGGAAATATGATGTCTAAATTTGCATAACAAAAATGAATACCGAGAATTCAAAGATTGATCATTTAATATTTATTTATGTTCTTGTTCAGCCTACTGTTGCCAAGTATATCATGCCAAACATTTTAGAGAAAGACATTACCTTAAATCAAAATGTTCAGTCATAAAAAGCTTAACCAGAGAGAGAAGATTGAAGAGCTAACAACAGCAAATGGGGTCAGAATGCTTATGTTGAGGTTGAGCACTTTGCTGGGTAATTGATGTGAAATAAAGAATGCGGTCACACTGACCTTTGAAATCACTCTGACACAGAGGGAAATGTGTAGCTTTAAAAGTGGAAAACTCAGTGACAAAGGAATGTTTGCTTGGATACTTGAGACAAAGAAATGTTTGCTTGGATACTTGAGGCAGTGTATAAGAACTGAAAATGAAGAGATATTTCTAGTAGTACAGAATGCTCAGTCAGTTATGTGCCATGCATGATACATGCTTCGGTGATCCTGTATCTTTCGATACATGACTGACGAGGCAGTTTTTTTTCCTGCAGTAAGTTGCCATTTCTTTCTGCAGTAGACCAGTTATCATCCAAGGCTATAGAACCTGGTCAGTCCTGCTATTTACCTATAGCTGGGGGGAAAACAGGATTCATACCTTTCCCAGTGGTATTAGCACTTAAGTGAATGTAATGGATTCGATAGATAGATAGATATCGGCAGACTGATATAGATAGATAGATAGATAGATATCGGCAGACTGATATAGATAGATAGATAGATAGATATCGGCAGACTGATATAGATAGATAGATAGATAGATATCGGCAGACTGAGATAGATAGATAGATAGATATCGGCAGACTGATATAGATAGATAGAGAAAATATCTTTCTAACTGATATAGATAGATAGATAAATAGATATCGGCAGACTGAGATAGATAGATGAATAAATAGATATCAATAGACTGATATAGATAAATAGATATAAAAAAATTTTCTTTTATCAACAGACTGATATAGATAGATAGATAAATAGATATTAAACAGACTGATATAGATAGATAGATAGATAAATAGATATCAGCAGACTGATATAGATAGATAGATAGATAAATAGATATCAACAGACTGATATAGATATAGATAGATAGATAATATCGGCAGACTGATATAGATAGATAGATAGATAGATAGATATCGGCAGACTGATATAGATGAATAGATAAATGAATATCAGAAGATACTGATATAGATAGATATTTATCAAGAAAATATAGATAGATAGATAATCCAGATATCAGACTGATATAGATAGATAGATAGATGAATAGATAAACAGACTGATATAGATAGATAGATAGATAGATATAAATAGATATCAACAGTTTATAGATAGATGAGATAGATAATAAATAGATATCAACAGACTGATATAGATAGATAGATAGATAAATAGATATCAACAGACTGATATAGATAGATAGATAGATAAATAGATATCAGACTGATAGATAGACTGATAGATATGATAGATAGATGATATAGATAGATAAATAAATAGATATCAAGCAGACTGATATAGATAGATAGATAGATAAATAGATATCAGCAGACTGATATAGATAGATAGATAGATAAATAGATATCAGCAGACTGATATAGATAGATAGATAGATAAATAGATATCAGCAGACTGATATAGATAGATAGATAATAGATAAATAGATATCAAGCAGACTGATATAGATAGATAGATAGATAAATAGATATCAGCAGACTGATATTAGATAGATAGATAGATAAATAGATATCAACAGACTGATATAGATGATAGAATGATAAATAGATAAATAGATATCAGCAGACTGATATAGATAGATAGATAGATAGATAAATAGATATCAGCAGACTGATATAGATAGATAGATAGATAAATAGATATCAGCAGACTGATATAGATAGATAGATAGATAAATAGATATCAGCAGACTGATATAGATAGATAGATAGATAAATAGATATCAGCAGACTGATATAGATAGATAGATAGATAGATAAATAGATATCAGCAGACTGATATAGATAGATAGATAGATAAATAGATATCAGCAGACTGATATAGATAGATAGATAGATAAATAGATATCAGCAGACTGAGATGTAAACAGACCAAGATAGATAGATTAGTCATGTGCCAGGCATGATACATGCTTAGGTTATCATGTACCTTTTGATACGTGACTGACGGGGCAGATTTTTCCCACAGTAAGTTGCCATTTCTTTCTGCAGTAGACCAGTTGCCATCCAAGGCTATAGAACCCAGTCTGTCCTGCTATTTACCCATAGCTGGGTGGGGAGAAGAAGAGGATTCATACCTTTCCTAAGGGTATTATCACTCAAGTGAATGTAATGGATTTGACTGGAATTCAAACCTTTTTGTTTCTATTTTCTCTAAAAATATTGTTAGCTAAAAGGGATTTCTGGTTTTAGTCATAAAATTTATCCTCGATAAAATCAAAAGAAGAGTCTGTAATATAATTGGTCTTGACCTGGCAACTCAACTTCAGTCACTAGTAGATTGGTAACTAGGTCTTACTTTTTTTACATTTGAACTAGCTTGATACAGCTGTTTTTTTCTATCCTAATAGTTTCTTTTCTTGCTTGTGAAATTACGTTCTGATTTTTTGCTTCCCTGCTATCTAAAATCTTCAAAAATTTAAACGCAGCACCATTTACCATTTTCTGTCTTCCTGAAACCTGTTCTTTTATTTTTCTTTTTCACTAAATTCTTCTCATTCTTTTTCCCTCTCTGTAACCTCTCGCATCCTAGTAGTGTTATCACCTTTCTTAGGGTGAAATAATTGCTTCACATTAACATTTTTCACTATCATTCTGGAACAGTTCTGAAAAAAACTTTAATCATCTCTACCACCAAATTTGACACTGTTCAAAAATAAAAATGTTTTGTTTTTGTTTTGTTTGTTTTTTTATCTTTAGTTGCATAATAAAAACCCTATTAAAATATTGAGGAAATAAATATTTATTTTTATCTGTTCAATTCTTAAACAGTGGTCCCTTTACCCTACCACTGCTCAGTTTAGTTATGTGCCATGTGTGATACACGCTTAGGCGATCATGTATCTTTTGATACATGACTGACGAGGCAGATTTTTTTCCCACAGTAGGTTGCCATTTCTTTTTGCAGTAGACTAGTTGCTATCCAAGGCTATAGAACCCGATCTGTCCTGCAATTTACCCATAGCTGAGAGGAAAAGAAGAGGAATCATACCTTTCCCAATGGTATTAACATGTAAGTGAATGTAATGGATTCGATAGATAGATGTGAATAGACTGATATGTAAACAGACCAAGATAGATCTGTTATGTGCCATGTGTGATACATGCTTAGGCAATTATGCATCTTTTGATATATGACTGATGAGGCATATTTTTTGCCCCGCAGTAAGTTGCCATTTCTTTCTGCAGTAGACCAATTGCCATCTAAGCCTATAGAACCTGGTCTGTCCTGCTATTTACCCATAGCTGAGAGAAGAAGAAGAGGATTCATACCTTTCCCAAGGGTATTAGCACGTAAGTTAATGTAATGGATTTGACTGGAATTCGAACTCTGCTCGCCGTTTCCTTAATCCGAGCTGCTATCCATTACCGTGCCCCTTCCTACCACCACTACTCCTCCAGATTTCCTTGGGTTGTATTGCTGAGTAGGAGGGCCATGAATAGAGATTTGGAGGGGGCATCGGAGCACTTCTGTGCAATAATTGACCATGGCTGTAACAAGAACTATTTAGAGCAATAAAATAGAGGAACTATTTACATTTTTTTGAACTGTTGTCTCCAAGAACACATGACCCAGTAGATAAAAGCATTGGTTGATTGGGCAGAGTCCATTTTTGAATCAATTCAATCCCCTCAGTGGAGAGAACAAACACTAGGAGAATTATCAAAAGGGAATTAACTAAAACAGATATCCAAAGGCATGGTATGTAGAATTAGAACAATCTACCCCTGTGAATTAAATAAAGGGTTTGGTTGGAAATTCCAACAAATATCACATGAAGCTGGGGCGTAAAAATATGTCCAAAACATTGTGACTGTTGTCCTCATCATTACTGTGATGGTGAAGATGTGGACAACAGTCCAAACAATGTAAATAGTGTAAATAGTTACAATACCTCATCTTAGAAATATAAACAACATACAGGAGATCTGGCATACAGAGAAATAACAGGATTCATTATACGAATACGCTTAAACTATTCCTTCAAATGATGTCATAAGTTCATAAGAAACACTGAAAGTTGATATAGGAAATAAGATATCAAATTTCCCTAAAAAAACTTAATGAAACTGTAGGATTTGTCTATAAATTTGGGGAGGAGATGGATGTTCTTAGCTGTCATTCCTTATAGAGATTGGAATCAACAATTTCAATTTAGTTTATGATAAGCAGAAAATATATGAATGTTTGTTGACAGTTCATTCAAGATTTTCTGACTTTGTTCATTAAATTAAAATTACTGCTCACAATTTGATCTTTGTTTTTTGCATTTCAAGATAAATAATAAAAATATCTAAATTTAATTCCTTTAACTTTTATTTTTGATTCAAGTTTCATTCATTAGTTTAACCCTTTGAACCTGAGTGGCCTGTACCCAGGCAGCTATGTGAAAATGTATACCCTGTACTTTTCAGAGGATCAGAATTCAAGGGTTAAAGAGGCATTTAATTTTTTTATTTTTTATTGAGTATGCTTGCTCCATTAATTAAAATCCTGCTAAGAATTTTGTTTATTTTAAGAAATTAGTTGGTTTTAAAATAAATCTAATAGAATTTTAATTAAAAATATTTGTATCATCCTGGCATCATCTCTCCAAAATTAGTCATATCAAACTGTTTTGTCATCCTCTGGATGATGGGAATATATTTGAGTCCTGATCTCTCTGAATTGTTATCTTGGCCATAGATAATATATTTAATAGATGATAAGGTAAGTAGTATGCCCTCAAAACCCTCTTAACATTCTGGAGATGTGGATTTTATTCTGATATTTTCATTTTTTTATGTTAATTTTATTTGTTATTGTTTTTTCTTCATATTGAACATATTGAATATACATTTGATGGTGTTAGAAATATTTGGTGGGTGCAAGAAATTCTCTAACATTTCTTGAAAATATAAAACTGAATGTGCAATTGAAAACCATTCTTTCATGGAGAAATTTTTGCACAGACCTAATAAATAAACCCTTTAAGCCCGGCATTGCTGAACAATTTGAACCCTTCTGCATGAGCTCCTGAGTCAAAATTTACAAATAATTGGTATGTAATGTTTCACAGTAGATATAAAAATAGTTATAAGTGTTTACCCACTGTTCAACTAGTGGTTGGGCATTACGTCATTTTTCTCAAAGGGTTAAAGAAAATTCCAAGGATTATCTATATTATTATAATCTGATTTCTGTATTTTTGTTTATTTGTAGCCATAAGATATATATCAAAATCAATACACCATTGCACAATTTCTGTTGAGGCAAAATTCTTAAAATACTCAAAAAGGAAAATTTTTTTTAGTATAATCAAGTCACACATTTTTAAGAGGAATTTTCAAAATTTTCAATAACAACAAAAATTAAGAATAAAAAAGCAAAAAAAAATACAAGAAATGAAAAATGTAATGGAAGGCAAAGCAAAAAAGAAATTATCAGAATAAAATCTACATCTTCAGAATTAACAAAAATGGTAAAGTAAGTGTGTTTTGAGGGTGTTCTACTTACCTCATCATCAAATAAATATATTATCTATGGTCAAGATGATAAAATAACAATTCAGGAAGACCAGGACTCAAAATTAGTCCCATCATACCGAGGATGACAAAACCTTAGTTTGACATGATAAATTCTGGAGGGTTGATGCCAGGATAATACAATTTTTTTTTTTAATTAAAATTCTATTAGATTTATTCTTGATGTAATAAATATGCATATACCTGGGTTCCCCCTCACAGTAATATGATTGGCTGGTGTCAGCCATAAATGCAGACTGATGTGGAGGTACAGGGAGACAACTATTGTCTTCACCTACAGTGAGGACCAGTCCATTACAGTTACCTGCTAGATAGTCCTACTGAATTACAGTAGTCCAAAACCACTTTGCTACTTTGAACAAATATATCCCTTTCTGGGACATATCAATTCTAAAACCAACTAATTTCTTAAAAAAAAAAAGCAATAGCAAGTTTTTTTAAGACAGTAACAAAGAAAGTATACATATGAAAACAGGGTAACAGTCAAGGATTATAACCTTCTCAGTCCAAGGCAAGAAAGTGACTTGTAAGACCATTTTATAGACTAAGAAGAAATCCCAGCATGCATCTGTAAGATTTATCTATTTTTCTTTTTTTTAACAGGTGTTCCCAGAGATAGGAACCAACAAGAACATAGAACGGTGATTTAAAGTCTAAAGTGATGAAACTAAAGAGTGGATCTGAAAATTGAACATTTACCATGGAAAATGTAATATAATTGACAGGTTTTGCTATAAAAATATCTATGGTGAAAAAGACATGATAATATCCATATCAGAAAACTCAATATCTGTTGACAACTTAAATTTTTCAATATATCATGCTTCTATTCTTCACTTAACTATTGTCTGTATCTTCTCATTCTTTCCCTTTATCCTTTCCCATCTTCATTGTCTATCTATATTTCTAAAAAAAAAATGTTAAAAAAAAAAAAAGTCAGATTAAAACAATTTTTACTGTGTTCTCTAAATCTTTTTTAAAATTTTAAAATTTATCCAAGATGCTTATAAAATGAATGCATTTTAATTACTTTTTCCTCAGTCCAGAATTAATTTGGTTATTTTATGGCATTTTATGTTTTCTTTTTGTGTATGCCGGCATCCTTTTGATATTTATTAATTAATCATTGTGATGCTTTTATGCTAAAGATATTAGCTGTTTCCTTATAAGGAAACATTTGGCAATCATTGACTGAGCAGTGCTAATGCTGGTTGAAATTTACAAAGTCTTTTCTCTGAAAACAATTTTTCAGGAATATAAGTTTCTCCTATCCAGTAACTGTAATCACTTTTCCCAGAACTGATGTGGGTTTCTTTAAAATGAATGGTGATTCAAATACCTGTAGGCTTTGAAAATTTTTTTTTTTTTTTTTTTTAAAATGTGCCATAAAACCCTAACTTCTTAAAATGTTAAATGGTAAAATTAGTTTTTTCTCTAAAAGGAAACATTTGAAGTCATTGAACAAGCAGCCAGTGCTGTTGTTGGTTGAAATTTATAAAATCTTTCTCTTAAAAAGATTATTTCAGGAAAATAGGTTTCCTGTTTTTAAATGAGTCGTCTATTATTATGACATCACTTGTACAAATCAAGATTCAATTCACTGTTCTTTTTTCTGCACACTTCACAACATAAATCCGAGTTTTCTTCTGCCATTTTCACTGCTTCAGCTCTCTTTCATCAGGCCAACACTGCGGTCAACCAACCAACCAACCAATCATTGTTCTTGGCTTTTATTCTCAGTTACCCAGGCAAATAACCTCCTCCAGTTCAACCAATCAGCACACGACTTGCTATTGGTGGAAGCATGCCAAAACTTTGTACAAAAACTCTCATTACTACACATACTGCTAGAGTTGCTAGACAGGAGAGTAATGCCATTTTCACAGAGCAAAAATTGCCGATGTCACATGCCACACATTAAGGTAAGACTTTTTTATTTTCCTCTGCACCAGATGCAAGCTACTCTGGCTCGCTTTTTCTATGGGGCTGTTTCACCATATTTCCCAAAGTCCACTATCTGTTAGCACTCTTTCTAGTATTAATCCATCTTTCTTTCAAACCTTTTTTTTAATTTAGTGCAGAACATCAGTATTATGATTGTCATTATTTTCCTTTTGTATTACATTTGCTATCTATTTTAGTTGAGGCTCTTGTTGAAAATCGTCAAATGATATGGTTTCTCTTATTTGGTACAGTTTTTTTGTTTGGGATCATGTAGCACCTGACCATGAAGTTCAAAGAAGGATGGACTCACTAAAAACCATTTTCTCCATAGATCTGAAAAAAAGTATGTCTACAGCTAACATTTAGATATTTCTGAATTGGGTTATGACAAACACAGACCACAAGGAAAAATTATACATATTTAAAAAAAAAAAAAAAAAAAACTATTTAAACACTTTGAAATTTTGCAGATTTTGACAATCATCTATTATCACATGACTCTTTCTTCTCTCCTCTCATACTTTACTGTATCTTCCCATTCTTTACTTTTATACATTCCAATCTTCATTGTCTGTCCAGGTTTTATCAATATATAATATAAACCTGGATTAATTTCATATGTGAAAAAAGAGTAATGAATGCACAACAATTTTGACAGGATCTTCTCTTTTTATCTTTTTGTTCAGTCTCCTGATAAATAATTTCAATGCCTTGCAATTCTTACACCTTTTCATCTCTACCTTTCCCTCATTGTCTCTTAACATCCAGCCAGAAAACCTGTATCTCTGCTTTTAACTATTAAAATGCTTGGAAATTCAGCCATCCATTTTCTCATGCCTCTCCTTTTTTTTCAAATCTGCTGTATCATCGCATTCTTTCCCTTATCCTTTCCATTCTTCATTATCCATCCATGTTTTATCTAAACTTGGCTCTCTGTGTCATAAGAAAGTTTTTCACGTCTGAGTCCATACTTCAAATCTATGAATCAACCATCTGTCCTTGCATGGAATATTGCTGTTGTGTATGGTCTGGTGCTCTAAGCTGTACATCTCAAGGTCTTTGACAAAATCCAGAGACGAATATGCAATGTTATAGGTCCTGATCTGGCATCTACTCTACAATCACTTTCCCACAGATGTGCTGTGACTTCCCTCTGTCTCTTCAAGTATTTTGACAGCAATTGTTCTGACGAGCTACTATCGCTGGTTCCCAGGCTGCATGAATTTAAGCAAGCTACCAGGCTGTCATCTCGGTCCTACCCATTCACTGTCAAAATGGTTAAATGTAACTGTCTCTTCTAATCAAACAGCTTCTTCTCCCACTCTTCTCGTCTGTGGAACCCCATTCTCCTTACATGCTTTCTCAATGATTATAATCTTCAAATATTCAAGTGTAATGTCAATCGACATCTGACTCTCTAAGTTGTTCCACATCCTTCTCTGTATCCTTTCCTCAAACACACCTCTTTACTCTTGTTCTCAATCCTCTG